CAAGTTTTCTTATTTTCCACGTAAGAATCCAGCCAATGTTAATCATGTTTAATTAAGTAATTAAGAGAGTACAGAAGTTAGCCAGTAAATATTCCTGGCTTGATGCTGTTCATGAGCAGTGGAGGGGAAGGTGTGGATGGAAGAATTAAAAATATATTAACTCATAATTGAATGACAATGACGATGATGAAGATGATGAAGAAGAAGATGATGATGACAATGATGATGATGAAGATGATGATGAAGAGGAAGATGATGATAATGATGACGACGATGATGAAGATAATGATGACGATGATGATAATGATGACAATGATGATGATGAGTCTAATTAGCCGAAAATATTGATAGAAGAATGTTAAAGGTTAAAGTGTAAAAAATAGCAGAACGGCGATGAGACTATGATGGATTGTTTGAATTGTAAAAAGAATTAATCAAAGAAAAATGAAGTTTATCGCGAATTTTTTTCTATTTTGTTTTTTAAACAAACAGGCAAATGCAAAGAGTGCTGGGGGAAGCATGTGGATGGAGAGGCATCGCTGTGCATGCTACAGGCTTGCACAGCGCAAACATAAGTAGAACATTAACAGCAATACGCCTGCATCATACATCAATACTTATTTGAATTCGCAATAAAATTATTTTTTGCTTAAATTAAATTTTAAGATCCATTAAAATTGATCTGCACCCGAGTAGATAAAAATTATTAAAGAGAAAATGCAACGAACATGAAAATAAGATTTCGAAATATCATAATTTTATTTGCACTTCAAAACTGCAAGAATTCTGGAGAGTCCACGATTGCAGAAACAGTAGTGGTAGAATGCGAAAGTTATTTGCATGATTTAATATATGATTTATTCTCTCTCTCTCTCCCTCTCTCTCCCTCTCTCTCCCTTTCTCTCTCTCTCTCTCTCTCTCTCTCTCTCTCTCTCTCTGTGTGCGCGTGTATGTAAGCTTTTATGTGCCTACGTGTTTATGTTTGTGTATCTGAATAGTACATCTTCAGTTGAAATTGATATAGGCATATTTTAGAATTTATGGTAATGCTAGTTTCGCACTGTAAATAAATAAGACTTGAGTGGGCAAGTGTAAAAAGGTTATTTGTTGTTTTATCGATAAAATACTTTTGCACTTAAAGCCAGTAAATATGTCCTATCGGTAGAAAGCGACGTTAAACTTTTTGAAATGTGGTCCAATGTATCAACACTTATGTAGGTAGGTAGGTGCGTTACGACAACGTGAATTACAACGTTAAATGTTCCGATGAAGTTTTTGTTTTTATCTTTTTGCCCTATTTCAATTATTTTTTATTTTCAATTAATATGACGAATGTTTTCTTATTAATGTTGTTAAATATCATTAAGGTCTTCAGTCACTATTCATTCTGTAATGCTACAGCTATACAATACAATGCAATACAATATTTCTTTTTTCCTCCTCAATATTATACAACATAATGATAAGAAAGCATGATGGTTGTGAAATAAATCAATAAGGATAATTATAATAATAATTTTTAAGTTCGTCATTATCGTCTTTTCTTATTAATGCTGTTAAATATCAGTAAGGTCTTCAGTCACTATTCATTTTGTAATGTTACAGCTTTGAACGAAAACATGTTATGACGGCATTGTGAGTCATTGTTGAAGTAGGTAAAGATGTAGGTACTTAGAAAAAAAGTTCTATTTTATTACAGGTATGGATGAGAAAAATATTATACATACACTCACGCATAGAATGTGTGTGTGTGTATTTGTAAGTGTGTGTGTGTGTATTTGTAAGTGTGTGTGTGTGTGTGCGTGTGTGTGTGCGTGTGGAACGAGTGTGCTGTGTGTGTCTGGTATGTGTTTATACAAATATGAACAGACACACACAGCACACTCGTGTGTGTAATTTTGTGTGTATAGGTGAATGGTGTATGAATGTGTGTGTATGTATGTGTGTGTGTGTGTGTGTGTACAGCAAAATTTTATTTTAGAAATTTTCTTGAAATCTTTTTCACATGGTTTATTTTGATAAGGTATTAAGACCCTGCCATGAGCTTTACCAACTTTATGAGATGTAAGGTTTGTGTGCGTGTGTGTGTTTAGTTGTGTGTGCGTGTGTTTGCGTGCGTGTGTGTGTTTGTGTGTATCTGTGTATGTGTGTGTGTGTGTATGTGTGTGTGGTGTGTGTTACTACTTAATAGTCGTTTGTGGCAGCTTTTTTTTCAAGATGTGCAGCTTTATGTTCACTTATAAACCGTAAAATTGTAAAGTTCTTAATTTTTTAATATTTGGTAAAATCTACCTGGCCTAATTTTCATTGTTGTGTATTTCAATGTATAATAATGTGTTATAACGCATTTTACAGTGCCTATGTAGTCTTTAATTTTTTCAACACTGACTTTATTCAGTTAATTTAATTGAACATATTTCAAATAAACTCATTCAAAGTGTTACAAAAGTTCTGTTGAGAAACTAATTGATAATAAATAAACAATGGAAATATTTTCTAAATGAAGTCAAACAAATTAATTGAATTTATCTGAATATACTAAAATTTACACAAATTTTTTTTTTGGTCAAAGATTCGCTCAAGCTTTTCAAGAGAACTAAGTTAAAAAAGCACAGGAAATAAAATAAAACATTCGCCAAATACAAATTTATATGATTTTACTTTTAATGCTGATAACAATGAATAATAAAATCTATAAAAATTACTTGATCAACTGAAATAACAAATCAAACAAACCATTAGGTTGTAGTTGTACGCCAGTTAGCAGGCATGTGATGAACATCAAAACGGCATTCAGCATTATCAGATTTTTCCATATCACTAGCTTCATTTCGGTAGATTTATTCAATTTTATTTCTATTATAGTTCAACATCAAAATCTGTTACTTAATTATTAAATTAGTGAATAACTGATAAAACGTTTATTCTACATTTAAGTTTTGAATCGAAAATAATAAACTTTCAACAATTGCGATTGGACGAGTAAGTTGACAAATTTGAGATCCGATAGAAAAGTATGATGAATATTTTTTTTTCAAATTTGAGATCGGATAGAAAAGTATGATGAATATTTTTTTCTCCAAAATGTAACTGAAATGTGCGTTATGTTACTCCAGCAACGACATCGTTGAACCGCCTACGATGTACAATAACAACAACAACAAAACGAACAGGCATGCAACAGCGCCCAACGCAATAAGCTTCATTCCACGAATGAACTTCTTCGTGGGTGCCATTCAATTAACTTGTACCTTCTCTCTTATACTCTCTCCTCTCTCTCTCTCTCTCTCTCCTCTCTCTCTCTTTCTTTCTCTCTCTCGCTTTTACTATTTTTTCATTTGTATTCCACAAATTCTTTTTTTACCTTTCGGTTTCTTCCTGCCTGTCTATTATTCTCTCCCATTCTGTCTCTGTATCTCTTTTTTCTTTCTGTATTTTTTTCTCTTTTCTCTCTCTCCTCTTTCTCCTCTCTCTCTCTCTTCCCTCTTTTTTTTCCACACTCTTTTTCCACAATTCATTTTTAGTATTTCAGTTTTTTCACTTTCTTCCACGTGACTCCTAATTTCTCCTCTTCTTGCAGTTTCGTTATTTCAAACTTTTTCTTTCGTTTCCAATTTAGAAAATTAGTAATTTAGCCATGCATTGTCAGCCTACACAGGACGGTGTTTGCGAGAACAATTACTCTTTCAATTTAAACGCAAAGCTAAATTTAAAATAAATAAAATTTATTCTTGGACTCTGATAAAAAGTTAAAAAAAATTTTGGCGTAAATTTAATGAAAGTAACTTCGACACAATACTGCCCGTGACAGATAAAACGTTAGATTGAAACTTACACTTTTAAATAACATAACCTGCAAAGGCATCATATTTTTTATCAACTTATATCAAATGTTTATCAATCAAACAACTGATTTAAATTGGAATGTTTCATTCTGGTTTTTTTTTATACTTTATCACGGGTTTCAAATTTTTTTAAGTAAATCTCTTACACAAGAGATAAATTGATGAAAAAATGAGCTAACAGAGTTATAACAATGACGAAAGAACATTCCAAGCTGACAACGTAGGCTATACAGATCGCTGGATGAATGGACGGATGGATAGATGGATTGATGTAGTCATATTATTTTTTGTTCCACAGATGCGGTTGCTACTTGGGCAGGTAATCGAAAAAATAGACGCTCTAAAGAAGAAAATTAAAAACTACTTCATCGGTACAAACTAAAAAATGGAAATATAAAAATCATTATAGTAATATTTTTTGCAACTATAGCAATAATTGCGCCTCTTCGTCATTTAAATATCTGTAGCTGTGTTTTTTTTTATAAAAGAAGCTCTGAAAACTTTGCTTGTGTGAGATACTTCAGCAACATAAAATTAAAACAAACTGTTTTACTGGTTACGTTAAATGAGCCAACAACGTTTGTGTAACTTGGCGTTATTGAATAGTGAAGAGAATAAATTTAACCTACAATTCGAAACTATCAAACAAATTTACTTCTGCGAAAAAAAGAACTGATATTTAATAAATTAAGCAACCATTTTTCGACAATTTACATTTCTTTAATGATTTTATTTCATTGTCTTAAAAAAAATTAAAAATGTAAAATTCATCTATCGCATCGCTTGTAATTTACTTCTTCATAACTTGAAACAATTTGAATCTAAATTTTATACAAGTTATATATAAATTTGTTATAAATAAATAATATAAATAAAAACCTTTCATAAACTTTAGTCAGGGTGTGCCACTGAGGCATTTTAGAGCTTCTACCCAGCACCCCTGAATTTAAATCTCAGTGTAATCACCTTAACAGTCAAACTATTGCGTCGCCAGCAAATGTTTTCACTAGGTTCATATTGAAATTGCAATGTTACGTACACACACTCGAAACAAAAAAAAATGAAGCGTCATATATATAAACAAACATGTAAACAACAACAACAACATTAATTATAAAACGGTCTGATTTTCATATTTCCACCATTTCCAACATAATGGTGCACCATACGATGATCCTAGCATGGAGCATGGTGGTATTCGTGAATGTGCCTGCCATATGTGCCTCAGAGGATCAAAGAAATGGTCTGAAGTTATTTATAAGGAGGAGTTAATTTATTGAACTGTTGACACTTTTTCAAATATTTTATAACATTTTTTTTTATCATATCGCTATATATATATATATCCATTTGCCAGCAAAGGTTTTACACATTTAATATAATTTTAATAAAAAATTCTAAATATTTTATTTTAAAATAATTTTAATAAAAACTTTAAATATTTTATTAATATAATTATGATATAATTTAATAATTATGTTAACTTATTATCAGACACCGAGAGTGAGATGTACATCGGTTGCTTCAAAGTGACAATATCCAACGGGAAGAAAACCTCGGCGAGCTCTGTGGCCCAGTGCAGGTCCTACTGTTCAAACAACGAGAATAACATGATAGCTTTGCGAGTTAGTTCCAATTCATTGAATATCAGCAATGCTGATCGAATAAATGTTTCTGGAAAACCCAATAATTAGTTTTGAATTACTTCTTATTTGCTATACGCATGAAGTGACTATCGTAAACAAAAGAAATAATACATGAAAATATAGTCAGGTTCTCAATTAATTATTTATTGACGAATAAATTGGAAACGGTAATTCGTTAATTAACTCAATGATTTTTTGCCATTTTTAAAGAAAAATTCTCAGTCGGAATTTATCGTTGTGCTAATGTTAGGAGCTTAAGAATGTGCATGAAATCATTTAAAATTTTACGCATTTCAACGTCGTCAATGATCGTTAATCTAATGAAAAAAATGAAAAGAATGGGCACGAATGTTTCTGCGTTGTTCGTGCCGACGCCAAGGTTCATGCTTCCGAATGCAACATCAGTTGCTCTGGAGACAAGAAGTTATGTGGAGGCAACAGTTCCTACGTAGTTTACAGAGGTTACAGAGCATTTTATTTTAAATTTTATTCATTCAATTCGTTCTAAATTTTCATAGCAATATCTAAAGCAATTTTCAAACTGTGAACGTCTGCCTGAGTATTTCTGCTCGGCAGAAAGTGGCAGTCGAGCTAGATTGACAGGTTTTAACTGCAACTACCTACGCCAGACATGCTGCCCATGTTTTCAGTCAACAGTTTATAGAGAAAAAGAAGTTTGAACGTTTTTTATAGAAGGATCAGCCAATCGCAAATTATATAACAAAAATTACTTTATAAATAATAAAAACGCAATGTTGATGAATCAAAATTTTCTATTATAAAATATTGATTATTTTTTACAATAAAAATTAATAAATTGTCTTAAATAAATATTTATATATGTATTATTGTACAGTGTACAATGTACACCACACAAAGTTAAAATAAACATAAAATATGCGTTTAACTTTTTGAAAAGTAAAAGAAGTGAGGAGCGTTTCAAATTCAATATTGGGCAAAATAAATCTAAACACTGATGATCACAAGTACAAGTTCGTGAGAGGATACGGTGAATTTTCGTTTGCATCTTGTTCGGAAATATGCAGTAGTTACAACTTGACCTACTTCTTCATGCTGGTCAGCTTGGTTTTTCTAAAACAAAATTTTTAAACTATAATTTATAATCCAATAGCAGGGTCAACTAATTTTATATAACTGACTGATTAATTTTTAATTAATTGCAGTATTTTGCAGCAAGAATTTATCATAAGACAAATGTATTTAGGTTGAATTTTTTTTAAATATGTAAAATTTTCTTGTGCACATTTTAAAAAAAATGTTACTTGAGGCCACCAAATTTTCTACCTAAGACCGGCCCTGCCAATGGCCTAAATTTTATAAAGTTATATCTAACATTGAAATACACCTACTGACGTATGACCATTTTGTTGTTTTTTTTTTAGAGAACCATCAACATTGTCTTCGTTTTTCAAATTTGTCACCATCTTTAATGATATTACTCGCTTAATCAAATTATGAATATTATTATCAATATTAATATACATTATTGTGAATATTTTTTATGTTAATATTGGAAATTTTTGTGATTTAAAAAATGTTGTGAAACTTTTGAGATTATTCCAGAGTAATTATTAAACCAAAAAACTGCAAAAAGAACGTTTTTGATTGGGAGGTTTTTTTTTATAAGCCCTCATTTGAATCCAACTACTTGCAATTTAATCATGTAATATTTTTAAATAAAAATGTTTTCGGCAATACGTAATTTTAGTCTTTACGTGTTTTACCAGCCGAAAAAAGTGAACAATTGCATATGTTTCGTGCAAGGCATAGAGCCGGATTTGGATCTTGCAGACAAAGGAACGTGCCAGATTCCTTGTCCAACTGGCTCCCAGTGTGACGTCTGTTTCTCCTACAACATTGATAGCTACGTCATGATCTTCACAAGTTTGAATTTGTTTATTTCAAATTTTCATCTATATTCAATTAAAGTTAGTGCTGCAATATTACTCGCGTTTTTCATATTGATAATTTGTTCGTTAAATGAGTATGAAGCTGAAATCAGAATGAAAAGTCGCAGTACAAAATTGGAAAAATTCCTAAGAATTCTTCTCATTAGTTTTGATAGATGGTAGAATTAAACTTTTATTAAAAACTTTATTATTAGAAATTTTCAATTTAACGTTTCTAATGAAAAATTTTTGTGATGATAAAATAGAATTGTTCACTCCCAGCCCGCTACCACTTGGAATTTCCTTCATGGACCAGCCTGGTCGTCCACTGCCCAGCTTTTGGGTGCATGTTTGGGTGTTTGCCGGGATGGGCTGGAGACTTTTGCAATGAAAGATGTCGGATTCTGGTTTTATTTTGACACGTTTTTTATAAAGCTTTTATTTTATATGCAAATAAATTTATTTTAAATTTCGTAAAATTTACTTGGCGCCGACTAACCAGCTCTATGAAAATAATTTACGTTGACTTTTTACATAAATGAATAAAAAATTTGAGTGATAAAATTTTTCTAATGTTTTTCAAGATTGTTTGTCACTGAATGGCGATTGTGGCAAGGAGTTGAAATGTGTGGTGGTGGCCGTAAATGGGCGGTCCTACCATGAGTGTGTCTGCCCGAAAGGCAAAGTTCTGAATCGCTTCCAACGATGCGAATGTAGGTATTAATTTCAGACATATTATTTCACACGATTCAATATAAATGACGCCTTAAAATTTAATAAAAGTTAAAATGAGTTCTCTTTAAAAAACCAAACACGTTTTAAATTGATTTTCATAGCTAAACCAAGCCAACTTTTTACATTTTAATGAATCTGAAAAATAATGCAGCTTACAGAGTGAATCTTGCGTACCTCAAGAAGGCCTACATATATTACGAAGATGCCAGCTCATTGTTAGATGGATCACAAGTAACAGATGGTCTGATCGTTCAGGAAACATCAACCAAACTAGGTGTGCGATGGATCGGTGTACAGTTGATGAAGGATTATTACATCGCTTACGTCACAGTGTTCAATTCTCTTCGCTACACTGGGGCTGGTAGGTTTTTAAGTTTTGTGCAAAACAAAATTATTTTGAAAACCATTAGTAAACTAATCAATTGTTTAGTAAAAAGTGGAGATGCCTTAAAATGAAGTAAACAAAGGCCGTGAAAAAGAGTAATAGTAAAGGCACCGAGTTGTAGCAACTGCATTCAAATACGAATCACATGGCATTCAGCGTGTGTAATATGTATGTGGGTCCATGCGCATTCGCGAGCTGAAAAATACTTTAAAAAATTAATTACAATAAATACCTTCAAACAAACTTTGCAGATGAAAATATTTGAAAAATACTTAAAAAAAATAATTAAAGCCTCCGTTAAATACACTTTGCAGATGGTCCGTATTTGAAGAATTTTTCAGTAGGTCTTGGAAATGTGTCGCGAAGTATTTTGAATGACTTCAGCATGGAAGCGGTTGTACTGTGTGGAGATTTCTCGTCAGAGTCCAATGAGGGCATTCCGATGAGAATATTCTGCGAAAACACGGCGGTGACGACAAACTTTGTGGTTGTTTATCCCAAAGACGGAACTAAGAATAGCAACATTGGTCTGAACGAAATTGAAGTCTACCCTCTTGGCAAGGAGAAATAACTTATATTTTTATTTATTGCCAGTCAACGCTTGAAATCGTCACCATATTATTTGAACTCAAACAAAATATTTAGTGACTGTGTTTTTCTTTAAATCTATATATTCTATTTTGTTTATAAAATAAAAAAAATTATAAATTATAAAAAAAAATAATAAAAAAACGTATTAAAATTTGTTTAAAACTTCTTTTTCTTCATTAATCATTATATCGTTATATCTGTAAATGATCATACTTATATATTATATCATTATATTTTTTTCAATATAATTGCATATTTTCCAACGCTTAACAAGACTGCCTAATCAACAATGGAAACTGTGGTGATATGAGGTGCTTGATAAGCAAGTCCATCAAAGACGTTCCCAGTCTTATATGTCGGCCAAAAAACTGTATACCTTCTTTTTCATAACCATATTCTCATATACATATATACATTTGCAATATGTTGGTACAGCAAATAACTTGAGAGTACTGCAAGCATATTGCTAACTTAAATAATTTGTAGGCATGGAAAACTGTTTCAATGTTTACCATGTATAATTAAGACTGTTATTTATTTTTCAGCTTATTTGAAAGATTAATTAAGAAGAATTTGATTTGACATTTCGAAGATTCAACGTGTGACGATTGCAAGGAATGCCTTGAGAGCAGATGTCACGAAGTCATCAAGTTAAGTCCAGAAATCGTTGCAGGTTAGTTTATTTCTGTCAATCTACTAATGTTATAAATTAAAACGTTAATTTGAATTTTTATGTGGCAACGACAAAGAACTTAAATTTAGGATGAAAAAGTAATAGTTTAACGAGAAATTAGAATGTCTGCCAATCCCAAGTGACACTTCGATGAGCCCGCCAAAACCTTGTTCATCTACAAGACAGATTCTCGACGCGGAATCTAGACGCCAGATGCCTTTATTGCCAACATGTGCTTGCTTTTTTTGTCTCAATTATATTGTAACGATTTTGAAGTTTCAAAAATTACATTTTGAATTTTTTTTTTGGCTAAAATATTTTCAAACAAGGTTCTTCAAAATGTTATAACTTTATAGCATTTATTGCCTTTTTAGTCTAGCATTTTTCTTAATACTTTCAAAAATAGTTATTTCAAGGTATTAAATGAACGATTTAAAAATAAAAATATTTAAACATGGAAAACATTCAATGACCAATCGTCACTACCCGGTGACAAATATCACTTGCTTGCGAAAATAAACTGGTTTTCAGATCAGAGAGACAAACACTTGACAAATTTTATCGGATGTTTCTCGTACCACAACAACGTAACTGCCAAGAATGTCGCTTCACTGGACCAATGCACTAAGCACTGTAGAACACCTTACATTAGTCTTCTGGTATGTTTTATAATTTTAAAATACAATATGATTTATATATACAATTAAAATACAATTAAAATAAAATAAATAATAAATAAATAAATTAATATACAATATGATTATATATATACACAATAAAATGCAATACAGCACTAGTACAAAATCAATTATGATTAATGAAATTATTCAGTTTGAAACATTTTCTAAAACGAAATATTCCAACACGTATCCACGCAAGGACAGTATCCACTGCACGTGCTCTGACGAGGTAAGCGGCATGATCTCGCTAGAAATGTGCCATGAAGACTGCATCTGCCAGGGACATAAGTACCACTCGGTTTTTTCAGGTTAGGCAAGTTTTCACTAATAATACTTCGAATTCCTGTTGGGAGTTAACATTTTATTTTATTACGATTTAACAAAATTAGTTACCAGTAATGTAAATTGGAATTAAGATTTTGCTTGCGAATGATGTTGGTGGGCAGCCAGCATCTTGACTGGAAGACTGGAATAAATAATTTTTCATTCTTCTCCGCATAAAATCTTTTATTTTATACTGATTAATTTTTCTAAGCAGCTTCTTCCAACAGTTCAACTGAGGTAGGCTGTTTCAGTTGGGTTGAGTTTGAGTTTGAATCGAAGGAAGACATTGTTTACATCGAGGACCAGTGCATGGACCTCTGCCTTTCCAAAGAGTACCACTTCATGGCCATCAAGGTTTGTTGTCGGAATTGGTTGCTGAAAACAATTTAAAATTTCGCTGCATGCGTAATTGTTTAACACATTGCTATATTCAATGGAAAGCAATTGCAAAAAAAGAGTATAAAAAAAATTATTCTGAAATCAGGACTTGCACAAGTGTTTTTGTGGGAATTCGATATCTTTGAACAAGCAGAAGACCAAAATTGAATGCTTCAAAGGAACTCCACACACTCACATTGTGTATGATTGTTAGTCTCAAATTTTTTTCTAAACTATTTTTCAACCTCCGATTACAAATCTAGCTCAATATATTCCCTACTATATATATATATATATATATATATATATGTATGTATGTATATATATATATATATATATATATATATTTACAATATTCTATAAATTCTACCGAATGTTTGGCGTTAATATATTTGTAGATAAGAAAGCACATCACCGATGACAAACTTCCATCACTTATAGGCGAATAATCTCCTGGCTACTTATATGGAAATATAAAAACGCATAAAAAGAATCATCCCATCCGACCAATTATTAGCCAAATTACAACTGTCACCTACCCTGCTGCAAAATTCTTGAACAAAATTTTAACCCCATATATTCCAAACAATTACACACTACAATCTTCCCGTGAGTTTATTAATCTCCTCAGCATTAATAAACCATCCAAATTTATTGCCTCTCTGGATGTTGAATCATTATTCACAAATGTACCAATTCATGATACAATCGACATAATTATCAACACCGTTTACCACTCAGATATGGTTCCATTGAACATACCGAAAGCACAACTGAAGTCCCTTCTTCAAATTTGCACTACTGAAGCACCATTCCACAGCCCCACAGGCAAACTTTACAAGCAAATCGATGGTGTCGCTATGGGTTCCCCCCTTGGCGTCCTATTTGCCAGTTTTTACCTAGGACAGCTGGAGAATGAAACATTCAAAAAATCAAAGTTCAATTTTACAACACCAAAGTTAATTTTTACAACGTCAAAGTTAATCTTGACAAAGTCAATATTTCCCTATATATACAGCAAGGAGCACTGACGATGATTCATTCGGAATCGAAATATGGCCTTATTTGCAGCATGAATTCGAAAAATAAGTTTATTTTGAATTTTAATAAACTAAACGTTCACCAAAAACTTTAGTGAGAAAAATCGAAAAAACGAA